AATAAAAACAAAAAACCCAAATCCTAAATACCTTTAGAAAACATCATGAGAATCCACCCATTGCCCAGAAAAAGAAACATCACTACCTAATATGATATGAATCCAAGAACCACAAGATCCCAAGTTGAAACTTTAATGATTGGTGGGTCACATAAGAAACTCTGTAAGTTGCCCCACATCTTCAGCTATGTCCTAGAAGTACTAATAGTTTTGATTGCATAAAAGAAAGTTTAACATTCACTGTTTACTTTAACTTCCTAATAAAATCTAAAAACAAAAAAAAAAAAGTAAAAAAACAGTAAAATTTCTTTCCATCGTCTCATAATTTTCTTTTCTTTCAGTAAAACCCTTTCCTTCCCTTCAATAAACCTTTCTCCCTGTCTCGAAAGAGCCTCACTTTCCATATTTTCTCACTTACTTTTTTAAAAAAAAATGAAAGATCACTTGACCTGACTTTGCCAATTCCTTACTGAGGAGAAACTCTCGTCGTCATTTTCATCACTTAATTTTCTCCAGAAACTTCATTCTGATGAGTTGATCAACCTAGGGCTCCAACACTTTTACTTGATTCTTCAATCCAGCCTCGACCTAATTGAGCTTGGTTTTTATCCTTGGTTTAAGTCTTGGTTCGATTTTCAAATTCTCTCTCTCGCTTCTTTAAGTACCCTTTTTACCTCTATCTTTCAATCCCTCTTAGGTTCATTTCTTTACTTTTTTTTGTTACTCTTTAAAGTGTCTATTTTTATTTTTTAAATAAATATGTATGTTTTTAGCTATTTTTACTAAAGAAACAAAATTTAAACAAAATATCAATCAATTTCTTCAAAAATAAACATAATGCATTAGCCACAAAAAATAAAAGAATAAATCATAATTACATAAATAAATAAAAAATGTACCTAAAACTCACCAATAAGCTCTATCAACTTCAAAATTTGTACCTGCTTTAATATTGCTGCTAAACAAAACGTAAATCCTTGCAACTAAATAAAAAAATAGATTATTAAAGAAATGGATATTTTAAAATAGACAAAAAATAAAGTAAGAAAGCAAAAAATTATTGAGAATTTTGGAAAGAGGGAGCGTTTTTGGAGAAAAATGCATTGGAAGAAGCAACGACTTTGAAGAAAACTAAAGTGAAGATGAAGAGACATTGAAGGTGAAGAACCTTATGAAGAAACTTTAACTTTTTTTCCTTCCTAAATTTATCCTTTAATTTATTTTTATTACATTGCATACCTATATAGCAAATCAAGATTTGGGATCTGTCTTTATATATAGTTATACATTTGGAGAAATAAATGCTAAAATTTATTATTCACAGCACACCTCTAATTAATTGTATGTAATACATTAGGCTAGACATGCCTCCCATGAATCATGCCAAAATGGTAACAAAGAAATAAAAGAATTCTTTATTTAGCATTGTATAAATTTTCATCGAAATCCTTTTAATCCCCAAAGTAGTCTAATTGCCTTTTTTTTTCTTCCAGGACAAAACTGAAGGGATGCTTTGTTCGTGTCTAAAAAAATTCTTTGGATCAATCATCTTTTTCACTTTCACTAACTTGTCAAATTTATTCCCAAAATATTTAAGACCCTAAACACTTGCTTGTGCATAACTTGTGTTACTTTTGTTGTTGGTTTCGATGTCAAGATCTTTATAGTTAACATATGCTTGTCGTGGAGATTTTGAAACAAATGAGCTCATATAACTGTAAACTCTCTTAATCCAATTTATGTATCTTTGATTTTCTATATTTTTTTCTTTTTGCCAACCCATAGAATATACAATTTTGTATAAATTGCCAGCTCTAAAAAAATAATAAAAAATCAATAAACATTTAAAAAAGGATAAATAAAACATCATACTAATATTTAATTATTTGCATCATCTGTATATTATTTAATTTTCAAAGAATAGATATGAGCCTTCGATGATGGGATTTTAAAGAAATCCGAGTAGTGATTTTTAAGAAATCCCTAAGTAAGAAAAATTTTTTCAATGTTACGAAAGTATTGAAATATTTTAAAACTTTTTTCAATAACAAGGTTTTAATTTATTTTTCTTAAATAAAATAGATTAATCTTTTAAAAATAAAATAATAAAAAAGAAAAAAATTGTAAAACCAAGACAATGGGTGAAATAGCAAAAGTGAAAATGAAAATAAATTAATAAAGGTAGTTAAGAAAATTATTTTTAAATACCAAAATTAAGACATTTTTATTAAAATTAAAAGATAACATATAATTAATTGGTACCATTTTTTAACGGGTGTTATAGATGTGCCAATTCTTCCACACATGTAATCGACTTTCAAACCCAAATTATTTTTACAGACTTAAAAATTATTTTTTAAAATAAATCTTAATTAATTTTAAGATTTTATTAAAAAGATAAATTTTAATAGGTGACCAATCATACCTAACCAAAAAAAATTTATGATTGTTCTATTTGTTTTTAAATTCGTCTAACAGTTCTAAAATCATTATAACAATACCCTTATATTATAATTATGAAAATACCTTTCATTTTATAATTGGCTAAAATTACTGTAATATCTCTTTTATAATAATTATGGAAATGTCCTTATTACCATGATTGACAAAAATTACTATAATATCTTATTATAATAATTATAAAAATACCCTCCTATCAAAATTGGTTAAAATAACTATAATATCCCTTTCCATAATTACAAAAATGTTTGTATGATTGCTTTATAAGAAATTGACATATATTATTTTATTTAAAAATTACTATAATACTCTATTTAATTTGCATATTAAATTTTAACATAATAATATAAAATTAATCATTTATTAAATTATTAAAATATCCTTATCATCATTTCATAAAAATTTGACGTGTAGAATTTTATTTGAAAATTACGATAATACTCTTATTAAATTATATTTATTAAATTTTAACAAAATAAAAAATTAACTATGTATTAAATTACTAATTTTATTGAAATTAACAAAATGTCCCTATAGTTCTTTGATTAAGAATTGACATGTGTCCTAAATGATTATAAAATATCTCTCTTACCATAAATTAGTTGAAATTATGATAATACCTTTCTTAGCATAATTTGATGAAATTACTATGATGCCCTTATTATCATAATTAAGAAAATACCTCTCTTACCATAATTTTTTAAAATTACTATAATATCTCTCCCACCATAATTACGAAAATACTTCTAATACTATGAGTAGTCAAATTTGCTATGATGCCTTCTTACCATAATTATGAAAATGCCATTTTAATTGTTTCATAATTTTATATTAAAGTTTACCATCTATATAAAAATATGAAAGTAATTCTTTTGAAAATGACCATAATTTCTTTATAATTACTTGACAATTGAATGATACGTGTCCAAACTAACTATAATGCCCTTTTTTCTACAATCAACTAAAATTGTTATGTCCCTCCTATCATAGTAAAATTATTGATTTTTTTTTTAATTCAATTGAATGAGTGATGATATTAGTGCTCTTAGATTTCATTGGTAAATGTGTCTAAATTTAACAATTGGTCAATATTGGTAATAAGTAAATATTTTATTAGTAGATTAGATTGTCATGTATGTATTATTAGGTTTAGATTTAATTTATACAATATTTTTAAAGTAATATCTTTTGTTTAAAATAGAAACCATCATTTATACAATTGAATTTGAGTGACACAATTAGAATATCAATTTTTTTTAATTTTTTCCAAGAGATTATATTTAAAAAAAGTAAAAAACCTATAAAATACTAAAAAAATGATTTGATTATTTAATTTATTATTAAATTAAAAAATTAAAAAATTTATATTTCATTAAAATAAAAAATTGCAACGATCGGATTTTTTTTAGTGAAATATTAACAGTCATGTACCAATGCAAAATCATTTTAAATTCATGATGAGACATTAAGTATTGTTTGTTCGTCATCATTTTTATCAACCAAATCTCTTGTGCTGCTTGAATTCTAAGCAAGAGAAATTCTCTGGTTTGGTGAACACCACAAATTTCAAATTAATGGCATAATTTATCAGTTTATTTATACAATAAGTATTATCAATATTTGAGTTTGTATTTAATATAATAATGAATGATAGATTAAAAAGATTCAAAAAAATGTATAATTTTTTTATATAAATTATCAAAATTTAAATCTGACTTTTAAAATTAAAAATTCAACTCTTTATTAATAAATCATGTCATTGTTGATAATATATAATTTTTTATTTGACATTTAATTAAATTTGTTAATTAATTAACTCCATAAATGTAATGTTAAGTTCAACGATTAAATATATCTAAAATGCGTAAACTCCAGCACAAATGAATAATGAATAAGATACACACAGAAGAAATTTTACTTGCTTATTAGAGAAAATAATGAGTAAGATACTAAAGAATGGTTAGCTCAATTGCCAAGGGGAGTGTTTCCTTTATTTTTGTAAGGAAACATTTTTTGAACGTTTTATTTATAAAAAAGTTTTCACCCCATTTCTCCTAAGTATTTTTAACAAAAAAATTATTAGTTTGGCCAAATAACAAAAAATTATGAGTTACAATAATTTTAGGAAAAAAAGTGATGAAATATACATAGATGATCTATCACTTTCTATTTAAAAATATGAATAAAAAACAATATAAAAGAAAAAAAAATCACTTTCAATTTAAAAATTGAATAAAAAACAATGTAAAAGAAGAAATGATAATTTTTTTATCATCTCAAAATTTAATTTTTATTAATTTCAAATATAAGAAAAAAAGGAAAGTAAGATGATAATCCGATGGCAAAAGTATTTGATACCCAGGAATACACGAGAGCGCACATATATATATATCAGAGCCTGTACAGTGTATAGTTAATGAATCTGAACGCCATAAGGAGCAGTCCCCTTTCTGTTCTGTGGAAGAAAGTTATCAACGCTAACTTTTCCGCGAAATCTTTGACGAAAGCCAGAGAGTATTTTGGCACAACAAGTCAGCAAATGTGCGCTGTATTGCAATATCCTCAATCTTTAAGAACCATATGTCCAGGAAAAGTTAGTTAAGTAATTCTCAAAGATAATTTCCCTGAAAAACATAAATTAAACAAATCCAACCCTGCCTGACGCAATTTTCAGTGTCAAATTTAATAATGAAATTTGGAGAAATAAATACTAAACAACACACCTCTAATTAATTGCATATAATATATTAGGCTAGCCATGCCTCTCATGAATCATGCCAAAATGGTAACAAAGAAATAAACGAATACTTTATTTAGCACTATATACAGGATTAATCCTTTTAATCCCCAAAGTAGTCTAATTGCCTCTCTTCTTCCACCAAGACAAAACTGGAGGGATGCTTTGTTCGTGTCTAAAGAAATTCTCTGGATCAATCATCTTCTTCACTTTCACTAACTTGTCAAAGTTATTCCCAAAATATTTAAGACCCCAAACACTTGCTTGTGCATAACTTGTGTTACTTTTGTTGTTGGTTCCGATGTCAAGATCTCTATAGTTAACATATGCCTGTCGTGGAGATTTTGAAACAAAGGAGCTCATATAACTGTAAACTCTCCTGACCCAATTTATGTATCTCTGACTTTTTATATTTTCTTCTTTTTGCCAACCCGCAGAATATACGATTTTGTATAAGTTGCCAGCTCTATGTGGGAATGGAGTTGCATTCTCAGGAATCTCATCCATTTTCCCTCCATAAGCCACAAAAAGTATACCAGCTGATTCTGCTCCTTCCTCATAAAGTTTTGACCATAGTCCTTCTAATGCAATTTCAGGAATAGGTTCCTTCACATAATCAGATTTCGACTTGAAGGCTGGACTAAAGAGAGGACTTTGGAAAGTTCTATCAAGTAAAATATCCAAGGATTTGTTTTGAATTATGCCAAAGTAGAGAATAGATTCAATCCAACTCATTTCAGTGCAATCTTCCTTCACTAGCCCAAGCTCCGAAAATTTCTCTTGCATCAATGGAACAAGTTCATCAACACCGCCAAGAAAGAATAAACTAAAGGAAGCTAGAACCGTCCTCTTCCCATCTTGACTAGCATTCACACTTCGCACGGCAACGAAAGCGTATGTTCCATCTGGAAAATTGTGCGCAATATATTGCCAACGATGAAGAAGTTTGATTGCATTTTGCTCCAAGGTCCTGCTAACAACGAATCCGGTCACAGTTGCTGGAACAGTAACCAACTTTACTTTCCATGCGATGGTAACACCAAAGCTACCTCCTCCACCTCCTCGAATGGCCCAAAACAAATCTTCTCCCATGGCTTTTCTATCAAGAATTCTTCCATTAACATCAATGAATTGGGCATCAATTATGTTATCAGCAGCAAGACCATATTTCCGAAATAATAAGCCATAACCTCCTCCACTAAAATATCCACCAACACCTACAGTGTGACAAACACTGCCTGGAAAGGCAAGAGTTCTACTTTTTTCAGCAATCCTGTAATAGAGCTCACCGAGAATTGCACCAGATTGAACCCATGCAACTTTGTTTTCCACATCAATTTCTACCGATCGAAAATTAATCAAATCAATGATGACAAATGGAACTTCAGAGATATAAGAAAGACCTTCAAAATCATGACCACCACTTCGAATTCTAATTTGGAGTCCATGTTTTCTTGAACAGTAAATTGTTGCTTGAATGTGGTATGCATGAAATGGGGTTATAATGACCCAAGGTTTAGGGGTAGTTGGAGCGGAGAACCTAAGATTATGCATAGAAAACTCCAAAACGGACGAATATGAAGAATTATTTTGTGTGTAGATGACTCTAGTAATTGAAGAGGAATCATCGGAACGAAGAGAAAGGCAATGAAGAAAACTCTCATGAGTATGAGCTGAAGTTGCCCACGACAAGGAGAAGAGAGCAGCAATAAGAAATGGAGATACTAAAAACTGGGGAGACTTCATTTTTCTGAAGCTAATTTTTTTTTTGCATATACGAGTTTATCGAGAGTTTCCTTATTTACAGTGCATTGCTTGCATACGAGTCAACAAACAGATGCGAATTTTTCAAATGAGATAAAGTTCTTAAATTTCAAATTTATTAAATATTACTTTTAATGGTATGAATCAACTAATAACATGATTTTGCACATAATTATTAAAGGTAGTGTCTGCTGATTTTCTACTTGAAATTTTGATGTATTACGCAATCAAATCAGTATTTTTGGATTATTCAATATAAATTTTCAGTTGGCTTCGTCGATCTTGTTCACTTTTTTCTTATAGATATTGGAAAAGTCGTGAAGAATGAGCCGCTAGCTTGTGGCTTACGAGGTAAATGGTTGACTTGGACTTCATGCTAATGGGAGGGACTCCCTCCCGTTAAAGCCTAAGACAACAACGCTATGAGATTTTCGTTTTAAATACTAGATGTCCATAATCTAGTAAATTGCTAAAATTATTATTATTTTTTGTACATTAATCGTTCCCAACCTGATCATGTGCAGGATTCTAGCTTTATGCTAGCAAATTTTCCTCCACTAATTTGGTATAAAAATATTTATCCTCTTCTAATTCAAATATATTACTGACAATTTTGAAAACAAAAAATGTAGATCTATAGTAAATGGGAAAACGTTGATACTTGGTAATGAACAAAGAATTCAATCTTGCATTATATGTTCTATATTTCTCTTATGCTCTGTAATATTTACAGAAAAAGTTAGAGGAAATATTAAAAGAAAATTAGATAAAAGGGGAAAAACGATGTATGCTGCTACCTCTATAAATTACAAATTTTTAAAAAATTATCTCAACTAATTATAATTATCAATATACTTGTCGTTAATTTATTATCATCTTATTTTTTTCCTAGATATTTTGAAAGCATAACCTCCATTATTGGATATAACTGTTCACTTTGTCTTTATAAAGCTAAAGCAAGCTGGAATGATAACTGTCCCCCATTGTTGCAGAGTTTCATTGACCCCCACTTCGTTGATTAAAAAAATAGGGCAATAATTTAGTGTCACCAAGAATTTATCAAATCGATGAACAGCTAAAAATGTCACGCAAATCCTGTCATAATTCCCTCTCTGAATTATGATTTTTGGAAAGCATAACCTCCATTATTGGATATATCTACATAAAGCTAAAGCAGGCTGGAATTAATGGACTATCTGTTAGCCCCACATTGGTTGCAGAGTTTTATTGGCCCCCCTTCTTTGATTGAAATATATGGCAATAATTAAGTGAAACCAAGAATTTATCAAATCGTTGATTAAAAATGTCATGCGTATCTGGCCATTTCAAGTTTCATCTACAAACTTATTTAGCCCTCTCTGATTTCTGATTGGCTGTTTAAATTTTACTATATATTTTATCAAATACGTTATTAATTAACTTCATAATGTAATATTAATTTCATGTTCGAATATTAAAATGCCATATCTAAAATTTTTAAATATTATCACAAATAAAATCATATAATTTATTAATAAATTATTAAAATTTAAATTATAATAGTTAAAATTTAATTTTTATTAATTTCAAATATAGAAAAAAAATGTAAGAGGATAAGCTGATGGCAAAAAAAATTTGATACGTAAGAACATATATATATATATATATATATATATATATATCAGAGTCTGTACCGCGTTAGTTAATGAATCTTGGCACCACCAGGAGCAGTCCCTTTCTGTCTCTGGACGAAAGTAATTCGACGCTAACTTTTCCGCCAAATCTTAGACAAAAGCCAGAAAATCTTTTGGCACAAGAAGCCAGCAAATGGGCGCTGTATTGCAATATCCTCATCATTTAAAAAACTCATGTCCAGGTAAAGTTACGTAATTCTCAAAGATAATTAAAAAAATCCAACCCTGCCTGATGCAATTTTCAGCGTCTAATTTAATAAAGAAACTAGAACATTGCCCGCTGCGCTATTGCTTTCTTCTTCTTTGGATTGGGTAACAGTAATACAAAGGTTAAAAAAATTAAAACAATGAATGTTATCAGTTAAAAGATTATAGAGAATTAAAAGTTATTGTTTAGTCAAAATGATAAGAATATGGTAGTATTTGTCGATCATGAATGATGACTATAATGAAAAAAATAAACATTCATAATTTAATGATTGAATGGAATTTTGAGTTTGATAAACATATCATTTTTTAAAGTCACAAAAAATTAATATTATTTTTTGATATTAATATATTCACTAGATATGTGAGAACACATATAAAAAAATAAAAAGTTATGTCTATAAATTATAAATGATAAAACAATTAATAAAAAATATAATCAATTATGCATAAAAATAGTATCTATCAGCATAAAAAGTGATGGCATTAACATTGAATTTCAACAAGCTTAACACATAATAATGTGAGTAGTAACAGCCATAATTGAAATTCACAAGCTTTGCTATTTTTGTTCATCATATATGTAAAAAAAAGCCAAAAGAATAAAAAAATGGCAAAAGTAAATTGTAATGGCAAGCTCAAACATTTTTTTTGTATAACTTCTAAAAAATGTCTAGTTTTTTTCACAATAGCAGTGGGAACAAAATGCAAAGATTGTTTTTCTTTTGGTACGATCCGGTGGTTTTTAAGCTTTCAAGATACCTTTGCTTTTGTTTTTGTTGTGCAAAATCATTGCATTTTAAGAACAAGGTTGATCGCAAATAAAAAAAAAGGTAAACATGTGTAAATAAATTATGGGTGGAGTAGTCTTACTCAGATCTTTGGCTTTTGAAAATAGATCTGTTGGGACTTGGCTGTTTGAAGGTGATGATGGTGGCTCCAATTTTGGATTCTTTGCTAGTGTTGTGGATGATGCAATTGAAAACCTCATTGTCAGTATCATAGATATAAAGTTGAGAAAATTTTAGACCAGGACCTACAATAGGGAGCAATGATCTTATTCTATGATAATTTTGACCATTAATCTTAAATATATAACATTATTGTCCATTTTGGCTCCCATAAATAAAAACTGAAACATGAAATCGTATACCTTAATATTTTTCCTCAAGTGACCAGACCTTTAACCTCATCCTAAGTATAGAAGTTAATCCAAAAAAGAAGGTGTAGGCAAATAACCTTTAGCCTTCTAAGCTAAATGACAAATAGTACTTCCTAATAAGTAAGAAAATAGAATTTACAAGTATGATTAAGTTTAAATGTAGCTGCACGACATTAAAATTATGTTGAGAACATTATTTACTTGCTAACATGACTACCACCACTTGATTCATAAATTATGTCACTTATATGTTGTTATTGATGAGATCAACACTTGTATCACCAACAACACTTTTATGGTTAATGAGAAGGTTGAGTGACAATCAAATAAATAATTTATGATAAATTGACAAACGTTATAAGAAAGATAAAAAGAAAAGGAATTTATTATAGGTTACCAATCTTTACCATTATGTTCTTTATGATTTGTTTTTGCCAAAATGAGCTATCTTAGTATTTTCTTCAACAGCAACATTTTGTAAGACAGACACATTATATAAATTTTAGGTTCTATTATGCAGGAAATTTTCACTAAGTTGTCATTGTAGAATACAATAAATCTCATTCAGTGGGTGAAACAAATATTGATCTCTATTTGACATCCTAAAAGCAGCAACTTTTTGAAAAAATAATACCAATTCCCATGTTTGCAACTATAAGTACATCAAACAAACTTTGACAACCATTGCAACTGCTAGTTGAACCACCATGGACAAAATGGAAGCTAATTCTTTCTTGTTAACCTCTTACACAATAGTTATTGTTGGGCTAAAAGCCTCCAATCCAATCACACCAGCGGAAGCGAAATCAAACAATAAATCAAACACATAAGAGACAATAATTTAACGTGGTTCGATCCAACTGACCTATATCCACAGATGAGAAACAAGATCCACTAGTTGTAGAGAATTACAAACATACATCATATCATCAACCCCACTCAACAATCAATACTCATAAGACACTCTCAATCTCCTCTAGTCCTATGAAGTATTCTCTACCCAAACAAACATAAACCCAAACCCTAGTGCACCCTTTCAACATAACCAAACACATACCCATATGCTCCCATACATCATACCTATGTGGACCCTCTCAATCTCCTCTAGTCCACTCACAAACAAACATACACACCCATAAGACGTAGAGCCCCAATACTCCTATGGGATGTCTATCCTACAAAATCCTACAACTCTCTTACATCTTTTTCTCATACCTAACCCTGTAGAGACTTACCCTATTTATAACCATACAAACTTGCCCATTAAGAATCCCTTTCCTCTTAGAATTCTTCTCTTGCAAGTCAAACTTACCTATTAAGAATCCCTTTCTTTTTAGAATTCTTCTCTTGCAAGTCAAACTTACCTATTAAGAATCCTCTTTCTCTTAGAATTCTTCATTTGCAAGTCTTCTTATCAATCAAGCAATATCTGACAAATCTCAAATAAATCTCTAACAAATCTCTAACAAATCTCTTATGGGATTTGAGTCAATATTCCCAATAATCTTCACTTTGACTCAAATTCTATCAATCATCTGTCTTCATGTTAGACATGCTTGGCTTCATCTACAATGGAAGTCTTACAATCATCTTCTCTTCTCTTATGTCTTCATGCTTTATACAAACTAATCATCAATCTTCAAAACTTAAACTCGAACTCTTCTCTCGAATCGAGCTTTTCTGGACTTACTTCTTCCCATGTCTCAAACCATGCACTTCTCACATCTAAAACCTTTAGCTCTTCTCACATCTCGAACTTTCAACTCTTTCACATCTCTTTCACATCTTGAACTTTCAGTTTTGATACCACTTGTTGAGAAATACCATAGCTCTGATACCATTTGTTAGGGAACACCACAGCTCTGATACCATTTGTTGAGGATCACCACAGCTCTGATACCATTTGTTGGGCTAAAAGCCTCTAATCCAATCACACCAGCGGAAGCGAAATCAAACAATAAATTAAACACATAAGAGACAACAATTTAACGTGGTTTGGTCCAACTGACCTACA